AATTTTCAAGAGTCCAAAAAGCAATTCAGAATCTGCACCTCTTGCCTGGTTATTACATTATTCATTTCTTGAATTAAGCTGAGACCTGAGGGGCAGATGCAGGCAGTGTAACTCATGTAAAAAGAAAAGAAACAGAATCAGAGTGATAGCAGGGATAATACAAAGGACATCTGCAAAAAAACATGAGACATTCTTCATTGTTCCACAGGCCAAGGTAGACATAAGAAATCTCCATCAATTTCTGAACAGTTTACAGGCTCTATTTTAAAATACCAAATTCCTAGCTATTACAATTATTAGAATTAACATAAGTTAAAAAAGCCAAAAAAAACACCCCACCCTTGCCAAGCCCAACAGAAACACCCAAAGAGGCATCCCCTGTGATGACTGGATTTTGCAATTCTCTTTACTTGAAAGGGAAAGGAATGTCCACTTTGTGATAATCAGTGTCTTCTCTGAAAAGAGATAGGCAGCATATTTGAAATGAGTTATAAGGAGGCCTTTATGCAGATTGCTGAAAAGTACCTTCATTTTTTAGGAAAGCTCAACATTTCTGCAGGCATAACTCATGTAAAAAGAAAAGAAACAGAATCAGAGTGATAGCAGGGATAATACAAAGGACATCTGCAAAAAAAACATGAGACATTCTTCATTGTTCCACAGGCCAAGGTAGACATAAGAAATCTCCATCAATTTCTGAACAGTTTACAGGCTCTATTTTAAAATACCAAATTCCTAGCTATTACAATTATTAGAATTAACATAAGTAAAAAAAGCCAAAAAAACACCCCACCCTTGCCAAGCCCAACAGAAACACCCAAAGAGGCTGCAAATATGTTGCTACTCAGAACCTCAGCAGATTCTCCTAAAAGCTTGCAGAAGGCATGAAAGGCAGTGTGACAAGCATGACTGCCGACAGAGGAGCTGCTGGGACACAGCTCAGGCTGTGCAGGCACTTGGGGCCCTCTCCTGGGCACAGCAGACAGACCCTTGTTTTGCCAATTCTGAGCACAGCCACAGAAATGGGATTTTCCACACCTTACACTAATTCCTCAGATGAATCAAAGACATAGGACAGTCAAGTCCAGATGGAAGATAGGAAGCTCAGAGATTTCCCAGAGAAGTACTTGCCTGCTCAACTCCATTAACATTTCTGAGACAGCAGCGTGTTACATCACAACATTGTTTATTATGTGACTTTTTACAATACAAACAAAAATACAGAAATGCAGTATATGAATACAGCTAAATGCAAAATGGTGATGTTTTTCTCGAGGCCATATTCCCATTTCTAGTAAAATAAAGAAAGACTGCACACAGGTAGAAACAGGTTGGTAGTTAACTCCACAATTTTGCCTAGAAATGACCTATAAATGCGTTTTCCTGCTACTTACCATAAAATGTAAAAAGGGAGTTAAAGGAAAGTTTTACTCACTGGTTCCTACCATATGAAAGAAGCTATATTCTATTTAGGAGGGCCAATATATGGAAAAATATCTAAATTAAATGTTATTACAAAAAATGAAGCAGTAATGAGATCCTTCTGGCTAAAGAAGTTACTAAATGAGAATAGCATATATTTAAAGAATCCAAAACATAAAAGGGTTGTTATAAAAAGCTTAGGTGCACTGTAAGCTTACAACTTTTGTTTTTCCATGTGTCCTTTTAAACAATGGAAGTGTCAAAAATAGGGTCAACTGTGTTAAACTAAATTACATTATTGTATATGCTGCACTGAATGGAACTCTTGTATTATAATAATAGAGAAGCATTGTTTGCATCATATTATGGCAATTTATCCTCACTAAAAACCGTCTAGAGTCCTGCAGTTTTTAATATCCTGTAAACCGTCAAACCACCAGAACATGATTGTACAACAGTAAAATGTTCTCTTTTGCATTAAAATGACACCTGTTTTAAAATTAAAAAAAAAAGGAAAAGGAAAAAAGGTACTTAGAGCTGTTATTTTTTCCAAGTACACAACACCCTAGACAATTCAAGGCATCTTAATTCTCCATCAAAATTAACAAAAATTTGTCATGCTGTTAAATCCATTACTATGGATACAACTGGTGCAAAATTGGTCAAACGGATCCAACAAACACTGATGTCCAGGCTGGCATATTGGCAACTAATACATAACTGGTGGTCAAAATGATGCATTTAAAATATCTTCCCTTTCTTCTTATTCTTTTCCAAGGTTCTAAAATGACATTAAAAAAAAAAGTTTGTTAAACAATGCAGACATGTTCTGATTTATGTTTTGAAGTACTAATGTACATGTTTTAAAATCCACATTTTTTTAAAGCTTTACTGGTCACAACACAGTGTATGAAACATATGTACACAGTACTTGCACTGTGTGAGTCAAGCAACACAGTTATCACCAGACTTCCTCTTCCAAGGACTAGGGGAATTAAACACTTTCACTATCAAAGACTTAATTCCTCATCTCTCAAAAGTCCGATGCAACCCAGCTTTCAAATATAAACATAATGTTTTGATACAGGAATAGTTGTGTGGATATGGTGGTTTTGCAGATTAAAATCTGCCTTAGAAGCCAATAATCTTGCCAATATTGCTGATATAATGCTCATTTGTAAACTAGTTCAAGATTTTTCTTAGCTTTAAAGGGACACTTACATAGTGGTCAACCACCATTATAATCACAGCAACTGCCTTTTAGCAGAAAACTACAGAACTTTTACTGTGAACAGCAGGATAAGACTTCAATTTACCTGGAAGAATTCTGTTGTTCCAAAATACGTTGTTGAGCTTCCCAGTTTGCTTTCTCGTCCTCAAACTGGCGACGCTTTTCCTCTAATTCTTTGTGTTGTGCCTCCAAATTCTTTTTCATTTGCTCATGGCGTCGTTGCAGCTATAGAGAATCAGGAACAGAGACAGTAAGAGCAGAAGACAGTGACTTTTGGAGCTGTAGTAACAAACATCAACTACTTGACTAAGGCAAGAACATACAGTATTATATTTTTTCTTCCGAGAAAGTAACTCAGACTAAAAACTCTGAGGTTATAGGTACTGCCAATAACAGAAACAAAAAGGGCATTAATCCGATAGCTTCATTTTATAGTTAACAGAAAATACCCCAAATGCTGTCCAAGCTACAAACAGGATTTTATAAGCAGCTGCATGTGGCAAAGAAAAGATAATTTAAAAATACTTTGACATTTGATGCAAACATTAAGATGCAAATTGCAGAGCATTTGAGTATCACTAATGCATAAAAGAGCAGCATCTTTGACTTCGTGGCGGGGAAGACGACCCAAAACATTGATTTCATTCTATAGTATTAACTATATCACGGATCTGTTTGGGAAAACATTAATAATAAGTGGATTAATTTATTCACTAATTCAATGAATTAGTATTATTGAAGAAGTGAATTGTCTACATTCCAGAACAGTGGAAGAAGTCTTCCCTGTAAGATGATGGGAGAGACTGACAATCAAATAGGTTATTATGTGAGAAAGGAGACAGTGTCAGGAAAAGTGATTCCTTTTGTGAGGTGTAACATTTTTCTAAAATGAGGTAAATCATAGAGTGGTTTGGGCTGGAAGGGACATTAAAGACCATCTAGTTCCAGCCTTCCTGCCGGGGGCAGGGACACCTTTTGGGTTGGAAGGGACATTAAAGACCATCTAGTTCCAGCCTTCCTGCCGTGGGCAGGGACACCTTTCACTAGACCAGATTGCTTAGAGCCCAATCTAACCTGGATTTGACCACCACCAGGGTTGGGGCATCTATGATGTCCCTGGGCAACCTGTTCCAGGGCCTCACTACCCTCACAGTAAAGAATTTCTTCCTAATATCTAATCTAAACCTAGTAATTTTCAGTTTGAAGTCATTCTTCCCTTCTTCTGTGACCACATGCCCTTGTAAAAGGTCCCTCTCCATCTTTCTTGCAGGACCCCTTTAGGTACTGGAAACCTGCAATAAGGTCATCCCTAAGCCTTCTCTTTTCCAGGCTGAACAAACCCAATTCTCAGCCTTTCCTCAAAGAATAGGTGTTCCATTCCTCTAGTCATCCTGTGGACTTCCTCCAACAGGTCAATGTCCTTCCTCTGCTGAGCATGCCAGAGCTGGATGCAGCACTCCAGGTGAGATCTCACCAGAGTGGAGTGGAGGGGCACAATCACCTCCCTCGGCCTGCTGGTCATGCTTCAGGGGAATACAACTTCCTCTTTCTTTACTCTTTTACAGGACCCTGTCTTACACAAACACTTCAAAACATATTTCCTTTTATACATTTTTAAAATACTCCGTACTCAGCACTGTCTACTGCCTACTCTTCCACCTTCAGAAAAATAAAACAGAAGTTTATGAAGCCATGAATGGTGAAAATAAAACCCCAATGAATTGCATGAACATTTAAAAACTGGTATCATAGGATACACTCAGTCAAAAAGTCATGAGACAGTACACGAAAAACAGAAATATTTCTGTTTGTTTGTTGTTCTTATAAAAAGGAGAGTGTAGAGGCCAGAAGTGTAAATGGGTTGGAAAAGATTCAAGACAGAAACTGAGAAAGGATAAATCCAGTGGCTAAAAAAACCCCATAATCCAGATAAAACGTCTAGCTTTAAAATCTTCAAATTTATAACATTTATATCCTTATCCATTCAGTCCTCAAAAAAAGAAAAAAACTAGATTCATTTTTTCTTCCCTCTGATCCAATATGCCTTGGCTCCTTACAGTGCCTAGCCTGCCAAACATTTCAACTATCCTTTCAAGTTCCCTCACTCTCCCTCAAATTTGGAGCCAAATTTTCTTTAGGAACTTTTGACAGTTTCAAATTTCTCTATTAGGCTTCTAGTGAGAAGCTACTTTCTCAGAACTTAGAAAATTCATTTTACTTAAACCTCTACTTAAAACAGTCCCTTAAAAAGATAATTTTAGAGCCCCTTGAAGCTCATAAAAATACCCAGTTTCACTGTGAGGACTTTACCTGGCGTTAACAGAAATTAGGAGTTAAAAAATCCGTAACATTTGTTCAAATGACACCAGAACACTAACACCAACATATCCCTGACTCTTCCTTGGCCTTAGAAATTCTCATTTAAATGATTTCTTATCGACATCACATCCAATTCCTGAAATTTTTTTTCAAAATGTACAGCAAATTATCATTATTACATTAGCTTATATAAGCCATGAAAGCCTCAAGAACTTTTTTAAGCACACAGAAGAAAAACGGGTACAAAATAATCCAAGGAAAAGGGGGGAAAAAGGATCACGAAGTTAAGGAGTATTTTAACATACTATGATGGTGAAACTAAAAATAGAATGCACGTGAACATTAAAACTACATATTAAATTCAGGCTTATGTCATTTCAGTAATGGCTGAGAAAGAGTAACTGAGTTGCCTTTAAATATAAAATCCAGTGATGGAATCAATTATGTTGCAAAGTCTTCACAAAAAGTGCTGTCTCTACATTTGTTCAGCCTTGAGCATACTGAGGTTTAAGAAGTTTCGATTACCTCAGCTTCAGAGTCCTTCAGTTTCTGAACCTTTTCTTTGACTTTCATCTCAAACACCTGCTCCATTTCCATTTCCATCTTCTTCATTTTGGCTACATGCTCCCTCCTTTCCTCCTCCATCTGTGCCAATGGGCTCCTGCCATAAATCCAGAAGAAGCAGTTAGCTAATAAGAACTTTTTCCCTGTCTGTTACATTAGGGCATCTGTAAGGAGCAAGATCAAAAAGCTGAAGCATCACGATAACACTGCTGTAAGCACTACGAGCTTAAATTCAGTTTGCATTATTATATTAACTGTTCAGTTAAGCTTTATTCAAAAAGGCATTTCATACAATATCTTTCTCTCCCCTACAATTGATTTTAGGTTAACAGAAACTCTTGACTTTCTACCTGCAGAGGAACCTGGTCATGGGGAGAAAGGAGATCAAAGTTACAACAACAACAAAAAAATTTGCATCTTCCAAGTGATCTTCAGATGTCTTTTTCGTTCCCATTCACACAGATACAAAAATTAATGGACATAAAAAAAATAAATTAAAACTGCTGCAGCCTAAAGTCCCATTTTCTCTCTAAATCTTCACTGTTCCAAGTGAGCCCAAGAGTAAGTTAACATTACAACTGTGTTGAATGCTGCGGTCATAGTTATGAAGAGATATCAGCTTTGAAAATAAAAGTTTGGGCAACTGAACATCAGTATTTCTTCAAAGTGTTAGTTGGAAGATATGAGCTTTAGAAAGCTACTAATACATTTGCTGTATTAAATATAATAATTCTATATTTATAGCAAATATATAAAACAATAAAATAATAAAAAGATAGAATACATTCTTTTTCATTTTTCTACGCACTTGATGATAACTACTTTCCTGGATTGTACTGAATTTTTAGAGCTGTATAATGCTATCCATGTCCTGGTGATATGGGTTTTAAATAGCAAGTTTTGTATTAAATATCCAATAAAACAGGATGATTATGATCCAGTGATGATTGCTACATAGTCTTGTAAGACTCTGCTGTTCAACAAAGAGCAATCAAAACAAATCACTGGCTTCTTGTTTCAGTTTTGGCTATGTGTGGCTTAAAATGGCAGAGTTTTAACTGTCATGTTGGCAAAAACGAAGAACTGAATATATTTGGAACCATTACAATCCACCAGCAGAGGATATCTGCTGTAATGTATGCGAAAGTCACTCAGACCAGCAAATTGTAAAATAGAGGTGGCAAGCCTAAGCCCTAATAAAAATAAGATTTCTGTTTTCATTTCTTAAAAAAACCCAACAAAACAAATGAAAAAGCCCTGGATCTGATTCAAGTCATGCAGAAAAAGCATGACTTTATGGAAAAAAGTATTGACTAACTTTCAGTGATGACTGAAATGCGATTAGCAATATCTATTTTGATTTATAACTTGCTACTCATTCTTAAAGGATTGGAGGCTACATATCAAACACAGCTAAGACCTAGCTTGACTATTATTGGCAGACTTTATCCTTCCTACTTGCCCATTTTCACCAAATAACCATGAAGTGAAATTAAGCCAATGCCATTTGAACTCAAGGCCATGTACATTTTTCTCTCAAATATCAATATTTTAAAGCTGACAATTGGTGGGGGGCAAGGAGGAAGAAAATGGCATTTCTAATTAAAACAAAAATTGAATTAAACCGAATCTGAACTAATAGCTGCAAAGCTTGGACTTGTCAGTAAAATGCTGTATGATATACAGAACTGAAACTGTCAGTTCGATTTTCACTTTAGTCCTTCAAAAGGCCAACTGCTAGCATCCTTTTTCAAGGAAAAAATTAATAGTTAAACACAGGTGACATACAACAATACACAAAAATAATAAGAGAGTGAAACAAGAGGTGAGTAGCAGTACTTGTGCAAGATACCCAGCTGTGAAAATAACACTATTTTCTTGTTGTTACCTTTTAGAAGTGTAAAGTTCTCAAATGTATCTGCTCTTCAAAAATTAATCTAGGAAGTAGATTGAATATTGAGGAATCATTGCTGCCAGTTTTAACTCGAAAGGGGAGCAGCAATGTCCTTCAATTGACAATTTAACAATCTAATGGGGATGTCATGCAAGTTGGATTTGAGAAAGTGCTAAAAATCAGTCTGCACAGAAAACATGATAAACTAACAAGTGAGCATTTACAGCTGAGAGCTTTACAACATAGGCCACAACTGATTTTGTTAGTTCCTAAGTATGTGACATGGGTGAGAGCATATCACCCTGTGTATCAAGATAAATTTGTACAAGGAACTTTGAAGAAAAAAAAAAAAGGAAAGAAAAAAAGGAAAAAAAAATACCTGAAGGCAAAAAGACCCCACAAACCACTAAACAAAGATGTAGAACATTTAATTGATTTAGCAGGACGTGTGTTAAAACAGCCCTCTAAGTTATTCTGCAAAACTTAAAAATTACTCTATATATGTGCAAAGTGGAACCTCTGCGAGCCAGTACTGAGATAAAATCATGGTCAGAAAAGATTAAAGTTACTAAATGCCCAACTCAATGAAGAGTTGTAAATTTATAGATAAGGATGAAAATTCCACTAATTCTTTATAAGCATCTATATAAAGCTGATGGAGCTATAGATAGAAACTGGGGGAATTGCACAATTTATGCCCTTGTACTGATTTTTGAAATTTGATTAAACTTGTCTTGAGTCTCAGCCAAAAGGTTTCTAAAGAGGATGGGTTTTTACAGACATGTTTGTCACTAAAAGTTATTTATAAATTCCTAAAGTTTACATTAGCACAGCTTTAGAACAAAAAAAACCCAAACCAAAAGCTAGGGGGGAAAAAAACAATGCCAAGAGCGGGATAACAGGAAACTGTTTTAAATTTGAAACATTAAACAGTGAAATCCTTTTTGTGTTTATAGAATTTTTGTCTTTAAGTTTTTTGGAAAAATTTAAATGACCACTTACATGCCTTCAACTGTGTCAAATCTAAAAAACAAAAAATACAGAGGCTTAGCTTAGCATGCTTAAATAAAACCACAAAACCAAAAAGCAATAATTAAAAAAGTAAATTCATTATTAATAGATTCCTAAAGCTAATTAATTATGTGCTGCCCCAAAAGCAAATTTTTCACACTAAAAGGAAAGATTGTTAGTTAAAGCTTGTTATATTTATTTCAAATTCAGTTAGTTAATCACTACACCATGTCAATATGAACACAGGTTTGATGTGCAGATGCTTTCAGGAACAGTTTCCCTGGAGTATCTATGCTTTTAAAGCGATTTTTAAATCTTTTAGCGACACTAACAACCACTTGCTCTAAACAAGTTTTTGGAAACCAATGCCACCTCGAGGCTTATCTCTTCGTTTAAAATTTGTCAGCTAGCACAGGGCACTGCGTTAAAGCCTCAGGAATGTTCTGGTGCAGAAGCAAAGCAGTCCCACAGCCAGCAGAGGTCTCCCCGGCGGCTCAGCCGCAGTGTCACCTCCCCAGGGATGCTTCACCCCGGGTGCCTCGGCTCAGCGCGTGGCTAATGCCAGGAGGGGAAAATAGAGCTGAAAACAAGATGCTGAGATTGAGTCTCAACATACTGTCAGATGGGCTTAATAACATTAGAACCACTTCCCAGAATCCACCAAGAATTCAGGCAAAAGGAGCTAGAAGTAGTTTAGGCTTAGCAGTTGGAAGGACCTAAGCATTGTGTATTTTGTCACCCTGTGTGCATCGAACAGATCAGCAGATGGAAAGGACTCATCTTTCTGATGGACAATATGACTTTCGGTGAAAGTAAGATTTACTCTTGAACTCACTGAGATAGCAGCGTCGTACAGCAAACCAAACAGACTTCTCACATTACAGCTTAAAAATTTCAGAGCAAATGCCAATTTTTCTCACATGCCACATAGTACACGTGGGAAATTACAATTACCACACAGCTTAAAGAGACAAGTTATCCACATAGATGAAGACAACCCTTGGCATTTTATTTTATTTTTTTAATGGTTGGAATGATGTTGAAAATTTGAAGGAAATCAGACATTAAACCTAAAATACAAAAAAGCTACACAGCTATGGAAAACACATGGTTTGAATTGCTGTTAGGTCAACAAGTTCCTTAAAGAACAGCTGACTTGCACCAAATCAAAGGAGGCAGATCAGAAAGAAAATTATCAACTGGATATAAAAAAACCTGCTTGAATTCATCTGCACAGTATTATTAAAACTTGCAGCACATACTTCTATTTGTTTTCACGTTTGCATTTTTGTTCAAAGAAATATGTTAACAGCTGCATGAAAAACGAAGACCTGCTAAGATCATAAAAATACAGCTGTTTGAAAAGCACAAAAGGTCAATCCTGTCTCCAACAGTTGCCAGTAGGAGATACTTTTAGAAAAGTGCAAGAACCACTGCACATCCATCTCCTTTTATGTCTATCCTCCCAAATTTCAAAAAACCAGCAGCTCCGGAGTTTCCTGAGCCAGAGGCTGTATCTGTGTTTACCTGCATGCTTGTAACATCACCAGAGAGCATCAGAGCATGTCTCCACGCTCACACTAAGATACAGGATCTCTCTCTCAGGAAAGAGCCAGATTTCCAGAGGCTAAGTCAAATATTGCCCCATTTTGAGACACAGCCACGTCTTTCAAAAGGCAAGCAGGAAACCGTAAAATTCTTAAGACACAAACTGTTAATATCTGCTCATCCCCCTCAATTTCCAGGAGACACATGGTTAGCAGGAAAATACCTTCTATGCTGCTTTGACTATGCTAGCTTAAAAAAACCGAAAACACTTTGAAGCCAAAAAGCATGTCAAAGCTTTAAAAAAAAAAAAAATGCTGGAACTCAACATATGAATAAGATAACAACACAGGAATAGAGGAATAGCATTAGCTACTACATAATCAGTACATGCATTAAAGAATTCTATGTATTTACTTATGAAGTCACCCTATGTTTCGAGGGACAAACTCTTAGAAAATGTTCAAAATATTCCTTACAAGTTTGCGATAGGTTTTGTCATCTTTCAGATGGCTAAATCGAAGAAACTGCGATAATTTATTCTCTTGGAGATAAAAAAAAGAAAGCCTGATAGCAAAGAGCACCAGTTGTGTTTATTCATCTCTGAGCTGCAGTACTGCAGTGTTCTGAGCAATAGATCTCTCACGGAGAAAATTGTTCCAAAAGGCACATTCTCCTGGAAATACTCAGGTGGAACAGCACAGTGATCTGAGGTGGCAGGAGATGCAGAGTAAACATCCCTCAGACTGCAGAATAATTCCAGACCCTCTCAGTGTAAATTCCAGCTCAAAAGGAAGTAGCAGCAATGCTATCAGCAACTGATTGGGGCTGGGGCATGAATAAAGGTCACAAAAAGAGTTTTGAAACCTACTGGTAGATGCATTTTTGTGTAAAATAATGTTATTATGCCTGCAATATGGGAATAAAAAATACTAAAACCCCCATGTTATTACTTTTAAGAAGAATGCAGAATATCCAGTCCTTACGTGGATTAGGTAACAGACTGATTAGGTAACAGAAATCTAAGCAGGCACCAAGCAAAAAAATGGTGAAAGTGTTATCACTAAAATTCAGATTTTTCAGAATCTATGAAAAACATATTAAGGTTTTGAAAGCTGTATTAAAAAAAGTATTAAACAAAAGAAAAAAACCCCTAAACAACTCCCTTTGATATACAAAATGACAATGAAAACATTTCTCTTTTCAGTACAGCAATAGCAAGTAATAGTACAGATAAAAAACACAGTAATAGGAAGTTAGAAGCCCTGGAGGAAATGCAGAATTTTCTGTTCTGCACTATCATTACTACATTTTCACCTGACATACTATTATATGCACTCAGAAGTTTTGAGATACGAGTCAGGGATAATATGATGGCAAAAAACATGACACTGAGGAGTAACCACAGTGTTATGGAAACACATATTTGAAAACTGGTCTTTTCATGGCTTGACCTCACTGCAAACTTCACCTAAATCCAAGTACACTTCTGAAAAGTTGATATGACTGACATAACCCATTACATTTTTTGCCAGTGCTGAGGAGGGAAGTCTCGTGTAGGCCCACACTAGATGAAACTAAATCATGTCCACTTAAATCATTCCCTCACAGCCACTTTCAAAGCATTAAGATAATGCAGAATAGACACTTCTTTAGTGAAAAATGATTTTGTAGCTGCTTTATGGATGGAAATAGCTGATATTTCGACCTAATTTCAGGGGTCTTTTTCAGGAAGAACAGCTGTAATTTGGCATACCATTAGCCAAACAGAATATTACTCTAATTTGAGAAATTTGTATTTAAATATAGTACCATGAAATAAGTAAGAGTATCACTAATTATTAATGATTTAATCACTAATTACTGTTGATGCAGCTGATACATGCAGAGCAGGAAGAAGTACTTAAGAGTGTAGCTATTCTAATAGCATTATAAAATTCAGAATACAGTAGAGCCTACTTTTAAATCTTCCAACAACTTCATCAGGTTGGCAATTAACTTGCTGTCAGAGGCAATTAAAACGACATATTAGGCTTAGAAAAAACAGCAACAAAAGCCCCAAAATGCTGCATTGCAACTCTCTTCTCACAAAAGATAATGATGTTGCAATAATTTCCCTGCCATGACAAGCAACCATACAAGTGGCCAGAGCAGCATTTCAAAGATGACAGTTACAGGCCTGGATTTTCCAAGTTCTAAACAAACATTAACCCATTCTTCTCAAAAACAACCCTGACACAAAGTATTGATCATTCATGCAAAAGAACCAGCAATCCCAAAAGTAGCATATAAACCAAAACAGAAACACTAACGCCCAAAAACTTTACTGTAACTACCAATAAAATGAAACTCATAACAAAAAGAGTAAACGTAAGGATTATCTTCAGAACGGAACATAACTAAAACCCAATTATTTAACATATTCAGTTAAACTAGTGCAAACCTTGGTGAAATAGAAAAAAAACCCCAAACTCTAAGCAAATAATAGGCATATAGTGTTCAGATCAGAACACAGTGAAGAGGTAACTGACTGACACACAAAGCCACCACCACCTCTCCCCCAAAAAAAAACCCAAACCAAAAGTCCCACCACAAAACCAACCAAAAAAGCAGAGTAAAATGTGCAATACAACCTTAACAGGAACTTACTTTGTTAGTTGCCCCTTATTTTTGTTGTTGTCAACACCGTTGTATGTAACAGCTGCCAGTTTTCTGCTTCTGTAGTTCTCATAATGTACATTGTTAGTGACATCCTTCAGGTCCTGCATATGAGTTCTGTCAATAAATGTAATTTATCAGCTTAGTGCACAAATACAAGATACTATCTGAAAAATCACTCCATGTTCATTTGGCAGACTGACTTAATTAAATTACATTACTCCATTAATGGCCCATTCCTCACAATGTTGACATTCCACCACTTAAATTGGAGCTGTCAGGACAGCAAAGTCACAGAAATACTAAATTATTTTGCACCAAACTCTCTAATGCTTGCAGTATTCCAAGCACTAGCTTACAGGACCAGTTTTGGAAAATTTGAATGCTGTGGAGAAACTCGCAAATGTTTGATAAAAAAACCCCAAAACCAAAAAGAACTATGATTACTACTGTAGTAGGCAAGAAAAAGCATGTCAGGCAAGAAACAATAAGCTAAAACTTCCTAGTTTTCTATCTTTTAAGTCCACAAAAGCTAAATGTAAAGTGCGAGACTAAGATACAAGCATTACCTTCCTTTCATAATTTTCCACTGCCAGCCTGTTGAAAAGCAAAGCTTAATAATCAAACTAACAGTTGTTACAGCACATGTCGCCTGTCACTGCTGGGAGTACAGGACTCAGCACCCAACACAGCAAAGCACAGGCAATCTTGCTTTAGAGAACTCAGCACGGAAAATTTTTTATAAAATGCCTACAACTAAGTACACATCAGCACTGAGAGACAACTCAGGTCCCAGTGGTTTACCAGAATTTTCAAGAACAAGTAATCACAAAGTAAAGAGAATCATTAAAAAAATACCAGTACCAACATCACTGCTTGTTTAATACATGGTTAAACAAGATACCATGAAGTATAAGGTAGTTTACAATTAAAAATATGGGAATTAATATAAACTCATTAGCTCAAATCCTTTTTTTCACAAATGTATGACTTCTCAATTTCTCAGGCATAGTAGAAAACTTCATGTTACCTGTATGTTATTTACCTTATCAACATGTTCCTCAGAATTGTGAAGTCACAGTGTTCACCATTTTCAACTGCAAAAAGAAGGAAACTTTTGTTGAGATGCCAACCAAAACACGTGCCTTACACAGAGGTAAGAAGATGTCATCCATCTACATTCACACCAACAACAGATTACTTCCAGCTTTTCCCTACTCAAACAATGTGTGTCTTACTAGCAGAGTTCTTACACTCCCCTAAGCCATACTGGCAAACTGCACTCTGAGTCAGTACAGCAGAATGAACTACCACAACAGAAACACAGTTTTGCCAGTTTAACTAACTGATCCTTTGGAGGCTCTGTCAGAACAGCTGTGTAAGGATCAGGCATGTAATGACGACTTCAGTCTAGATCCAGCTATATCCAACACCTTTAAAAGACAGACTTAAGTTAATGTATTTCTCCTTACCTCACTAACAAGTAGCAGAAGACTTCATTTTCATTTTAATGTGGATTTAGTTCGTGACTAACTAAGCAAAGGAAGGTTGTATGCACCTACCTACGGATCAAGAGAGAACTGGCAGCTGCCATTAGATGCCACCTATTCCACTGTGCCTATCATCCCATTAATGTAGAAGAGGTTGATGCTAAGTAGCATTTCCCTGACAGATAATGAAATGACACTGGAGAAAGAGGCACACCGCAGAAGTCCCTAGCTCGCAGACAGAGAAGGCAACACACAAAGCTCTTAGTGCACAGAGAAGAAAGGCACAAGGCATGTTCCAATTTGCCCCTGAAGTAAAGATGGACATTTTCATAGCAAGGAGGGAAAAAACCAGGATGAAGGCCAAGTAAGTTCAGTGAATCCTACGGAAAAATGCAGAACAGCCTCTTCGCGTGTTCATCTTGTATCTGCACTCCTGCATTATTTTATTCCATGGTTTTACACAGACTGGTAAGTTCCACCCAGATAGTACATGAAGTCATACTCCCAAAAAAGCATCATCTCTGTCCTTAGCTGACAAGCTGAAAGCCACTTGAAGAGGTTCCTTTTAGTTAGGCTAGCTCTTCCCTTCCAAAAAAAAAAAATAAATCACACAATCGCGAACATGAAACCTTCAAGAAATTTGTTTTAAAATAAAGAAAAGCAGCACTATTTTGTACATCTCCAAATGCCAATGCAAGAGCCTTAAATAAAGCTTGATCCTCTCTGGTGCAGCTGGTTTTTACTTTCTGCCAAACCTCATTTCCTGCCAGACATGCACTTCAAAGTGTTACAGCATTCCTCTTTCAAGTATTGGTCCTACACTGCTTGTTGGTTGGGGTTTTTTGTCTATTTTACACTGCATCAAATTTATAGTCCATTGCCCTTGGAAGGCAGAAATAGTGAGGAAAAAGTATTCTCTTTATTTAATACATGCACACCACAAGGAAAATATTCAATGATCATGGAAAACCAATTTAACAGTAATTGTTTCACTACAGACCATGGTGCAAACCATACCATGTACTATTTGAAATATGTGAATGGCATTAATGCACAGACAGTGGCTGCCAGAAGAATATGCAGTTATCTTCAAGTATCTATAGCAGGAGAAAGTAAGTTTTAAATAAATTAAACAAAAAAAAAGTATTCCATTCATTACCATGTACCTTTCCGTTGCTACACCCCAGCAATTAAGACTCAGATGTTTTGGGAAAAAAATAAATTCTTCCAGAAACTTTGAACTGAATTTATGCTAAACAAGCTGATCAAATTAGTATTTATAAAGCGAATACTCCAGAAAGAATAATTTAAGAAACACATAAGTTTTGTATGAGGAAAATTAAACTAAGAAAGCTAGAAAACAGTTGTAATCTAGGTCTCATCATTACCTGCAGTAAGTTATTATAGGTCTTACAATTCCTCACTGAGGCTTCAATAGAAATCTGCTTGCAAAGTTACATGTTGCTGAAACCTTTACCTTGTTCCAATAGTTAGAATAACAAAATGGTATAATGCAGTAAATTTCCAGACCTAAGAACATTCAAATTAAGCATTTCAAACATTTCAACTACAGACTCATGGCTAGTAAGTTTTAAATGGATTTTAAAAAAAAAAAAAAAAATCACAAGAAAGCCTTACCTTCTGCAACACCCCATGGGTACTGCCTTCCTCTAACTCTCTTGCCATTGACTTCAATGATCGTATTACTACCTACCACAGCAAGAGGTAAACGGTCCTACAAGATAAAGTATGACTTTTAAAATCAGAATTCTTGTTGCCAAAAGATACTGAAGACATGCCCATGTATAAACTTGATGTGCTACAACACTGCAATGGAGCTAACCCAAAGTGCAAGAACAGTAATGTTTACTGACCTCTGCCTAGTTTAATGACTTATATATACACACACCCCTTTGAAATTCCTTACACTGCTGCATTCTGTAAATCTAGTTAAGAAACAGACATTACTGTTACTTAGTAAGCTAAGCAACAGGCAAACTATTTCCTATTTACTCAACTGCACAGTTAATTATTTACCAATTCATATTCCCACTGCCTACAAAGACTGTTACTTTGACTGGATCTTGTACCCAGTTTTCAAATGTTTGGCAAAGAACTACTTCAAGTTCTTGTTTTCAGCTGAACCAAGAATGCCTCCAGTGTAACAAGCAACAAAGGAGCCAAGAGCAGCTTCAAGTGGCTGAAAGGAACAGAATACAAAGCTAAGTATTTTGGACATTAGTCTTCGCTTTTATTCTGCTCTTCTCTTCTAGGCTTAGTCCCAGAATACCTTCAATTTGTGCTATTTATGTTTATCTATCCTAGGTGATTCCCACGGTAACAAAAAAAATTAAAAGCTCTTACAGGCTGTTAAAGCTACTGAACAAACAGAAGCAAGGCTCAAGAAACACACACAACACGGACTCCAACATAAAAGAGCAAACCAAAAACATGAGTAAACTAAGAAAAAGCCTTTCAACAGCCTGACAGTCCTTTTGATTTTCTTCAGTCATCCATCTCCATTAAAGTTTTGGTATATCAATCAGCCAGACAGCTATTAGCTGTAATGCACACACTCTGTGCCACTGCACACCTCTGTATGAAGGACAACCCTTGCCTCCTTCAGAGCTCAGAACCAAAAAAATGTGGTAGGTTGTGGTAGGTAGATAAAAGTCAAATAGGGCTGAAATAAAAGAAGGGATCTTTAAGAGTTCATTAAATAAACACATGATCTAGTGCTTTAATTCTCAATTTTAACCACTAAAGGACACAGACAGATGACTTCATAGCGTGGTGTACTGCCTGTTGAGAAACAGCAACTCTTAGGACAGATTTGCATCTGATTTCTATCTTTGAAACATTTTGGTGGGCTCTTCATTGACAGAATGCCTTTCACACTCAACCTCCCTTCTCCCCCCACAAACAGAGCTTTCAAAAGAAAATTAACTTACCTTTATCTTTTTAACAATCTTATTTTCTTCTTCATCATCTGTTTCTGGAAATTCATATATTTTAATTTTGTGTTCTTGGATTTCTTTCATTATCTAAAAACAAAAGTGTTGTTTGAGGAATTCAGACTTTGTAACTGGATTATTTCCTGCAGCAATACAATTGTCCCTCCTTTTGTTTGATATGCAGGGTCCTTACCTATTAAGGTGACTAAGTTACATTACAACTTTCACATGTTTAACACCATCAGACGACTCCTAAGGAATATTAATATGACCATTTATCCTTAGGAGAAGAGCCAGAGCCTCACAGCTAATGGTATTATCTACCAATACATGACAGCAAAAATTAATACAAGTTTTCTACAATGGGACAAACTAGAGATTTACCCTAATGGGAATTGTAATTCCATATGCAAAACCTAATACAACACAACTTAAATTCTCAGGTGAGTCTTGCAATTGAGTACCTTAAAAAACCCAAAACATTTTAGTAGATAACTGCAGGCACACTTCATTCCTTAGAGTTCCCAAAATAGCTATTGCTGTCACTCCTATTCTTTTCTGTTTCTAGCACACCTGAGCATCAGTTGCTTGAAGCAGGATCACCTGCCTACTTTAATACAGCCTGTGACTGATGGACCAGTCTAGCAGTCAGTTCTGTTGAAAACCATTTGCAAGCACTAATGAAAATTTAAGAATAACTGACAGAGACATCAAAAAAGAGACTACTGATTTGGTGCCTGATTTGTCTGAAGGGTATTTTTAAAAACAAGCTGATTAGTTTTCCAGAATTTTAGACCGGAAAAATATCAGACTATTTAGCTGACAGCTGCACTGCAGAGCCCTGGGGAATATTTCTGGTTCATGAGTTTGCAGTCCTATAAGAACATAAGTTTCCAATTCATGCAAGGACTTATTTTCAAAGTTTGATTTGAAAAAGTCTCCCCTATTAACATCAACTCGTTGATAAAGCTGCTAATAATTTTAGAGATATTTTGTGTTCTACTATTTTTTTCCTTTCGTTTTGCCCGCTAATTTTTATGCTTAAATCAAGAGTTTTGCACACAACACCTCTTCATGCCATCTTCTTTTCTGAACTTCTTCTAAAGAGGACTGGACACAGTTCAATAAAATGAACTTCAAGTCTTCCTTGTCCTGTTCTGGGTCTTCCTTATCCTCTTCATACAATACTACAAAGCCTAAATGTTCTACTCTGATCATGCAGCTTTAAATAAAAGCATAAAGCACTTGTAGACATTAATACCAAATACATTCTACAAATACAAAGGCATTATATCAGTTGTATCAATTTTAGAATTATCTCATCATCTTAAAAAGCATCACTACAGGCCAAGACTGAACAACAGGTATACTGATTCCCATCTAATACCTGAGGTATCTCTAATAAATACAGTGCATCAACACAGAATTGAATACCACAATGCAATCAATAATACTGAGATCCTGTCAAATACCTTGGGGTTTTTTTAACACACAACTTCTGTTAGGCACCTAAATCTTGAAAGCTCCTTTCCTCCCTTACTGATTTTTATCTCAGGAGTGAATTATTTCACTTGCCAAGAAACATACTACACTTGAAACCTCTTCCCCTGAGGATAGAAAAAAGATTATTTCACACAGAATTATAATTAAATCTAGAGATATAAATTACTTAGCTTTGCTGTCTCAGGTTGTTGCTTCGGGGTTCAAACTTTGCATGTAAGTTAAATCTCACCATTTCCACAGGGATCAACTTAATAAATTATCCTGTGCTGTAAACAGTAATTTTTCAACTCACCTGTTTTTTAAACTGTTGGCATTCCTCAGGTGTAAGTGTGTCTGCTTTGGCAATAAGTGGAATGATATTCACTTTTTCATGCAGGCGCTTCATAAACTCTATATCCAAAGGCTTAAGTCTGAAAGACAGCATTAGAGTTTGGCAATTGCTATTAATTAAACAAGAATGTACAAACGGTGACATTTGTCCTGACACCTACTCTTAAGACACTGATTAACGAGTGATAGATCACTGAAGAAAAATCAGAAGTTTACCTGCAACTACTACAGGAAAGTCCCTAAATTCTATAGCCCCAGAGGAATAAGACATTTGTTAATATTACTTGTAGTCATGAGACTTCTGCTAGCTGAAATGACACTCATTTAAGCAAGTGATAAGAACTCTCCCATGAAGTAGTAAAGTTTGTGTCATGAGCCCGAAGATAATCACCCTGGAAGCCTGACTGATAAGAGTTTACAGCTGTGAATTGTGCTGTGTTCACATTAGCAGTTTCAGTCTCTGAAAGTCATGTTTATTTGTATGTGGCTTCTTGAGAGTGGGCTGGGAGATTCTTTTTTTAGACTCTGTAATGCCGAAGACAGTAACCTCTGTTGCCTGTGTGCAAATGAAGCAGAAATATCTCATCTCTAAATTGCCATGTAAAACAAAAAGACAAATATGAAAGTGGATGACAATGACAAAAACTAAAACACCCACCATATGGATATTGGGTGGGTGATAGTATATTCACCATCACCAATGTGGCTCAAGTTGTCAGTATTTCTAGCTTGCTGAAGTAATGCCACAGAGGTTCTGATGCATTAATACTTCAGAATTATAGCAAGTTTAGTCAGGCTTAAAGGATTTAACACGAGTATTTCTCATATAAATGAAATTAGTATTAGGAACACTTAAAACAGATTTATTTGGTACCCAAATTTAGCTGCTTCTCCAAACCATATACAAGACAATGAAGAAAATGTTAAATAACACATACTTCAACTTCTTCTACCTGCCACGGAATTCTGCAAGTTCTCAACAAGTTTCCATTAAATAACTAACATTAATGCATGTCTAGATTACGAGCACTTTTCTGGTTATTCTTTCATCTTAAGATGATTTCCTTCTATTTGCTTCAAAAACCTTCCTAAGGCAGCAACACCATGTTGAAGTGCAGCTGTCAAAAGCAGAATTGTTCAAAACAACAGTGCTCACCTCAAGGACTTGAATTTACAGTGGAGACTGAAGCAGGAAGGCTTTACATACAGACCCCAGAATTGCAGAAAGATCCTGCAATTCATTATTCACTTTTGAAGGCTTCTCCTACCCCTTCCACCCTCTCTCCCTACACCCACAAAAACTAACCATTCAGTTCAGATGTTTACAGGGATATCAGCTGAAAACAGTGGAATGCATTAAATAGAAGGACTTAAACTGCCTTTTAAAAAAACTACTATATTCTAACAAGCTGGTTATTACAAACGCATTAAGTCATAAGGACAAGCAGAACTAAGTTCATCTGCAAATGCTTTAACTCAACGAAAATACAATCATGCATTAAGAGCGAAGAGAACACTACTTGACAGGGTACATGTACTGCTGTCTGCACAGGAAACGGAAATGAGGACTGTATCACCACAAAAACCAGGTAGGAAGTGAGCCAGAGAGGGCAGCATCTTAAAAGAGGAAATGAATGCTACCAGCAGCATGAACTTTCTCTATTAATTCCCTTACTCAAATGACAATTCTGAGCATTTAGTCCAGTAGTTGAAAAACACTATGGAAATCTAGCTCACCTTTACACCTTTTTCCCCCAAAAGTAACATGAAATACCTGAACAAGGAACATACTCCTACAGCTTTTAGTCTCACAAATGTAGTGAGCAGAACTTTATTTACCAGAAACATTACCTTTCTTTTTCCTTATGAACCATGTGTACCTTCTGCTGGTTTAGAAAGTTCTAACAGATAAAGAGGGGGGTGAAGAGAAGACATGTTTTTTGAAGAACCTTAAAGCTAGCTCAAAAAAGATGGACTAATACAAGGAATGGATCATTCTTCCTTTGTTTAAATTACACTTTGATTTTGCACTCTAGCAAAACAATACACCAAGGATTTAAGTGTCTGCATTTAAAATGGACATGCATGTTGAGCAAAACTATGATTACAAATGTGCATGTTGAACAACAAAACGTTTAATAAAGGCAAGTCTACACATCAAACAACTGTGCCCTCCAAAATTTATTTCCAAATTCGGAAGTCTCTGTCCAGTTCAAAATTATGAGACCCATTCGAATGCTAGCTAGAGAAGCTAAGTGTAATAGTTAGCATTTTTTAATGCCTGAGGAGTATTCCTTTAAATTCTATCATCACTTCCTTCAACAAGTTTTACTATTTTTGATCTATACAATATAGTAGACTATGTACCTTTGACTCCTTCTGGTTTTGAAGGTATAACTTAAGAGTCCCTGACAAATTTAATCTGCAATAATACCATAAATAAAATACTAAGCAAGCAATTTCAGATACAGTCAAACTGTATCTAGCACAGCCTGGCAATGCAGTTCTCCCTCTCTACCACTAGATAGAAGTCTGATCTAGTTATAAACTAAGCAGGGGTGGAAGATCACATAGTAATTGAAGAGCATCTAGAATGCCTACACTAGAATCATCACTAGACAAAATCTGACAGGCCAGGTGAATTAAAGCATGCTTATAAGGATGCATGAAGCTTCCCATCTTCAATTTATCATTAAAGTCAAAGGAAGGGAAGAAGAATGCAAAGGAAAAATCCTGTTGCTTGAAGTGTGAACCACTTTCTCTTTTTAATGTGATCACAAACAGACCTGGTGCTTGTGACGCCTGTATATTTTTAATTGTGAGAATTCTGTTTTTCTTGTTATGCAATTAATGTGCAATCATGTTTCTCTGTGTTCTAACTTATTACTTGTTTGGCTTGCTGATACTTGACAAGCCAAAGTAAGCTCATCTTTGAAATCAGGCATGGCCTGCAGGCCACTTAGAAAATCCTATCCGGAACTTTACATAACCAAGAATGGCAGGTTAAGATATTTATCTGATATAAGAGACAGAGAAAGAAAACATAAAATATACTAATACAAACCCATGTCCTGAAGGAGCAATGAAGTATAAACAACACTGCACTCTGTTATCTGGCATCTGGCGCCTGTTCACTCGAGATTCTGCATTCAGGTAGTCCTCAAATTTACTGTCAATGTAGTCGATAACTGGCTGCCAGCTGCAAAGGTTACATGGATAAAAACCTGTAAGTTGCATTATTTACATTAAAAAACCCTGCCTTTCTTAAGAAATAGATGTCCACAACTTCCCCATTTTTCTTTTTGGTTTTGCTTTGTTTTTCTAAAATTAAGATACTTCAACACTGCACTTTAAGAGACCAGCTCCTCAACTTACTTAACTTGAGTTACACAGCCCTGAAGATACAATGTGTGAGTTCACTGGAAAACCCTTTCAAACACAATCATCTTCATTGTAAAAGCATTAAAGAGAATACTTAACAGTAGCCAAAGGAATATGCCTCACTGCTCACATCTTGTGACAGCACACAAGTCGGTTCTGCACACTGCATGTGTGGATAAAGAGCCAAATGCATCAATCAATTTAAAGGGGAAAGCTGACAGCATTTCAATCAAGTTATAAAGGTACTTGGAATTACAGTAGTTAAAAGTTTTCACCTAACTGAAAAGCTTAAGTGTTATTATGGTAACTCATTTTGAAGCATGCGTTTAAAAATGTGCCAACAGGTATTGTATCTCTCACACACACAAAACACAATCCAGAACTGTCGTGCGAGAACATACAAAGAATGTCTTACCAATTACTATTATCCACAGCATCTCCAAATCCTGGTGTGTCAACTATTGTAAGTAGCAACTGAACACCACCCTCTTTGATTAAAACTTTTGACTGCTCAACCTGTAAAATGAATAAGGTAAGATTAATTTTTTAGCAATTTACCCACTCATCTCAAACACTGGGAAAAGCATTCAATGAATAAGAAGTCTGACAGAATTGCTGACTTTTCTGAAGCACAGGGATATTGAATGTTTTAATTCCAATAATTTTATTAAAATATAATTTAAAATTAATTAGTTTTTAAAGAAAAAGGTCATTATTTAAAAAAAGGCAGTGATAAAAGAACCCCTCTAAATAATATAGGATATCTTAATGTTTTAATTCCTGATGAAGCAGGAAAAACCTTAACCAGGCATTATACTTGAGGAAACTGCCAAGTTTGGTCACTTCAAAGAAAATTACACTTTTCAAAACTAATCCTCCCTCCAAGCACCTTGGACATCACCTTTCTAATCCTGTTAATGTATTTTTAAGAATAAATTTATTCTTCAGCAAACAATGCTAGGGAAAGGAATCACACGAAGTGATGGTTTCCTGTAACAAACAGACTGATATTGGAAAGTGATACATCTAGCTGCAATCCCCTGAGCTAGACCTCATGTGGCTGTAGTGGATTGGGCTCCTGTTAGCTCAGGTCACTGATGGAAACCTGGCTCGGAACACAAACTGCATCAGCACAAGGCATGATGCAAGATCTGGGTGTGGGAATTTGTGCCTCCAGTTGTGACCACCCATCTGCAGCACAGCCCAGGCAGCAAGCATGTCATTAAACAGATTAAACATGTCATGACAGAGAAAATCTAGGATGAACAGCAAACAGACTGCTACCCTCTTCTTCCTACTAATATCTCAGTAATTATTGATAATGCCAATGTCAGGTGTATTTGCCTGAGAAAGTGCACAGCAGTAAGAAATGACAAACTCATGTTAACATATTGGCTCCTTCCAATCACTCAAACGTTTAATCATCATTTTTCCATGGTATTAACCCAATTTCTATAAAATCACTAGTGACATGGTCTTCTAGATATGGATTCAAGAAATCAACTGTGTGAGCCATTCACCCAGAGCCATGCACGAGTTGGCAGATACTAGCACCACCTCAGTGCTCACTGCTTAACATTTCTTATGCATCCTGAACCCTAACTGGGGAGAGAAAAGAAAGTTCTATTTAAATGGGTGAACATCTGCAGGAACATTCAGTACGGAACTTTCAAAGAGAGTGGAAGCTTGGATAATAAACCCTGTCTGGATGGTCTCTTCATCAGTTCAAGACTTGTGAGAGATCATATCAATGCTGCTTAAAGCTCTTGCACATCCCTGGTTGTTATAAAAGTGAAACAGACTCACAGCCACACCTCAATATCGCTGCACACACTTTGCAATCACTGCTTATGTGATGCAACGTAAATCCACAAGATAAATTAACGCCCTGCAGAAAGTCAAACTAAATCCCTCTTGCACCAGTAATACACTGATTCTAACTCAGAAGAAAACAGATAGAAACAGCAAACGGTAACTAAATGCAAAGAAAGCTTCATATTTAACCTCTGAGGATGGCATTTTTATCTACTCATCAGTAGGGATCCTATCCAAGTCAAATCAAACCCTTTCACTGCTATGTCTCAAAACTTAACTACTGTGGCCGCCTACATCATGAGCTGGTTCCTCACATAACAAAGGTATAAAAAAAAAAATAAACCACTAAGTCAACCTCCTGAAACACGAGTCCCCAGTACTGGGCTACCAGGACGCTACCAGAAGAATCCAGGTTGAGCTGGACTTCAAGGCCACCCAATTTTCATTGTTAGTTGAGCAGGCCTTACTGACAGGTTACAAAGGTGTAAAGAAACAGAAATTAAAGAAAAACTACAACTAAGCAAACCAAATAACCCATACACACACCAGCCTAAGACACCACCAAGTTCTCTTTCACAACACTTATCCTTCCAGAAGTGTCCAGTTCAAGCATGAGAACCTAGGATGCACATGCAGTGCTTTAGAAACTTACATTTTGATTGTGGTGAATGTATTTCCCCCCCAAGAGTTCTACAGAGAAATTTTATTGTACACAATTGATGCCAGAACTCAAGACAGTAATCTGCAGCCACATGGTCAACTCAGCCAGAAGTTTACTACTCACAGGAGATTAACTTCTGACTCTTTGCATTCTTTTTGCTATCTTGCATATACTAACCACATAGGCCTCCTATTACCAAGCACTCTGCAAGTATAAGAAACCCACAACACTTGCAAAATACCAGAGATGATAATGTTAAGATATACTCTTGCCAAGTGCTACAAGGTATTAGCTTTATTCTCCAGCACAAAAATTCCCGGCAAGAGCCATTAAATTATTATGCACTCATGGTGGAATGCTTTTACAAAAGAAGCAATTAATAAAACATTATCTTGAACATATGTTTATAACAAAGGAAAAGGAAGGTCAAGAGATCCTCAGAAATGCCATGCCAAACATTTTCCCTGATTCTGTAAGCTTGTAAAATATAAGTGTGACTGAATTGGTCAAGTCGCCTTCTGATGAATGACCTGCAGTAACTGAACCTCTGCAGACAGTGTGAATAGCTTACTGGGTGGTGAGGAATTAATTTTTTTCTTACTTTACATAAATTTATGTAGGTATCTTGCTATCAGAGCAGGGTTCAAAAACCTGAACTGAACAAGAAACATTAGCTGATCAAATTAAATATCCTATGCTCATACTGTGGACAATCAGACCACACCCACATGCTGCAAGCAGTAGAAACAATTGGTGAGAGACAGTACATGAAGAACTTGCCATAAAGCCTCTGCAAAGTTGCCTTTTTCTAACCTAAATGGATGTGCCCATACATGGTCAAAGACACTGAAAGCAGCAACAGCTGGAAAAGATCCAGAAAATCACTATAAACTAGTGTCATTCACGTTTAGCATCCAACTGCATCCTATCATCTGATTTACAAGTATTCTCAAGGGATTCATGGAAAAACATTAGTTCAAGTCCTGGAATTTAAAACTTTTAAAGAAAAGCCTCCTCTACAAAGACATTTTCCCATGCACTCCAGTGAAGTGGGTCACACGGGTCTCCTTGGCAGTTATTACACAGTGTTCATGACTTGCTGCTTGTTACAGCTCAACTGCTTTTTATTGGATTACACATGCTTTTATCATACCCCATTTAAGACAATCAAACAGTGACCAGCAAAAACGTATTTCATACCCCTCATTTCTGAATAAGTTTCCTTTGAATTTATCTGACATTAAATCACTTACTATTAACTGTTTTTCTGTGTTTTCCATGAAGAAAAGGACCTGCCTCAAACCCAACTACAAACTGCAATGGCTTTCAAGCATAAACCACAGTTCATATTTATGCAAAAGCCTCCTACACAATTCCTGATCAATTAGTTATTCCCACCATGTAAGAGCAAAACAAGTTATTATTACAACCACGATTTGAGGATGCTCTGGTGGTCTGTCTCATCTCTACCCTACAAAACCCTTTCAATCCTCAACTTGAAAAGGTTTACACTGGCAAAGAGTACAAATGCAATAGATCCAAACAGCAGCTCCCACTGTTAATTTTTTTGCCTTAGTATTTGACTGGAAACATCTCCACAGCATACACCTGGTTGCTAGACCACACAATTTTCCAGGCTTTAGGAGGAAACAATTTTATCCTCACACACTGACGCTGAAAAAAGTTTCAGTTTCCTTCTTAAAATGCTCACAATGATTTTTCATTCATCCCAAGTAACTGAAAGCAAAGCAATGTTGCACTGCAAATATACCAATAAAAATACTTACTAAAGTAAGCAGTGGTTTCTAAAGGCGAAGATGGGTTTTAAATCTATTTCATTCCAATCATATTATTTCCTAAGCCATGTTAGACCCCAATTCACTACTGAAAACAGTTTTGGCTAGCTCTTGGCCACCCTCAGGCTTTAGCCCACACAGTGGAAGTAGGAAAAAATGAAATGGCTTTTCAGCCTGGGCTCTGTTCAAGCCCTTTTTTTTTCCCCTTCCAGGTTTACATGGAGGAAAACCAAAAAAATTTAAAAAGAAAATTTCAGTAAGGGAAGCTTCCTGAAAAGCATGGTTTGTTTTTTTTCTTCAACCAGTAAATTAATAAAAATCAAACCACCTCTGAAGGTCAGGATGAACAGATCTTCTAATCTTGCCCCCTAACAGATGACAGTGCTTAACTCTAATTCCAGAAACTCTACTCACAGAATTTTATTTTTCTTACACTGATGCACCTTTAACTAGGGTGGGAATGAGTTATCTTTGAAAGATGTCATGGTTTGTGGTTTGGTTTTTTTTTGTTAGTTTGTGTACAAATTCTTCCAAATATTTTCCCAATTAAAAAAAAAATAAAATCTTCCAATGACAGGGAATCCATCCACTTATTTAAACTCAAAGTAACCTGAACTGGTTTACCTTCTGCTAAACCAACATGTAATCATCAGGAATGAAATCTCTTCCAATAAAAAGTCACCCTTCTACTTAGTTTTCCAAGTCATTGATTATTTCACTAATATTTTATTTAGTATACCATACCTATTATTATTTAGTATAGTATATTATTAAGTATATTATACCAGAGCACAACTATTTGCACACTTCTTCCGTTACACTTTAACATCTCTTTGAAATAGGCACAAATTCCATCCTTCTAATTCAAATAATGGTCTAATGCCCCTTGCTAACAATCTTTTAAGTCCATTTTGTCAGAATCACTATGGTTTTACATTAAACTGATAAAATAAGCTAATAGACACGATCAAAGCTTAGAAAGTATTAATATATTGTTAAATGAACTCAAGTTTTTCAAAAGATTTCCTCCAAATTAAACAAGTGCAATGAATGCATTTTGTATTACTATTCAAGCTTTGATGTTGAGACAACTGACCAGCAATGTCACTTAAACTTCTTAGTATGAGCATAACTAACTTTTTCCTGGTACTGTGGTAATTATTCTGTGTTCCGAGACTTATAGTCTTATGAAAAACCCCAAAGGAAAAAAAACCAAACACCAGAAGTCCCACAAAACAGTAAAGGTCAGTGGATCACAGCAGTGGAGCAGTTATTTGATTCCATTTAATAAAAAAAGCACTCAATTTTACAGCTTTTGTTTAGCACCTTGTATACACTCCTAACTCATCACAGAGCTCAGTCACTTCATGACAACTCTGTAACTGCCCAGTCACTTCAGCCACAGCTTATGTGGTCTGAGACTGTCATTTCACAGCTGGAAGAACTCTCCTGGACATTTGCAGCAATGGTGAGCACCCTCATCCTCACCTGTACAAAGTTAGATTATCACAAGGTACCTTCACCAAAATCTTAAGTGCTCATCAAGAGAGATGAGCAGAGCTCATGCATCCCTTTTCAGCTGCTCAGCTGTGGAGGCAGGAAATACCTCACTGAAATGTAATGATTTCCCAAACTACTCATAACATTATTTCTTAGTATTAGGTAATTGTTATTTTTAACCATCTTTTTATACTACAAAAAGCATGTTCCTTTTCTTGAGAGAAAATGTGATTGATCAGTAGCAAGTTATTACACCAAACAAATGGATCAACTTCAGTTTTCCAGTCTATTTCAGTTATACCAAGAACATCATCTTTGACTATGTAAATCTAGTGTTTAAAGTCAACCAGGTTCATCCCAGTCCCTGATAAGTTTCAGAATAACAATTTATAACAAGTGAACAAGCTACCACCAATACAGCCTGGAGAAGACTTGTGGATACTTCTATACCCCAGGTCCATACACCGCTTTCAAAACCTTTATTATACAGGTCTCTAAAAGGCTGCCTGAAACAGTCAGGGGCTTTAGTGCACATCTGTGTATTTCTACAGATACAGTCACTGATAATGGAAAACTACATTTTCAAACAGGACTGAACCTGTATGAGTTTCCTAATGTACAGGCAGCACACAAAGCACTTTGGGGCTCCCACATTTCAACAGGCTACACATCCCAGAACATGGAAATTTTGTACAGCTAAGATAAACTGAAAGACACACTGAGTAAGTGTTTCACATCATGGCTGAACATATTTGAAATGTAGGTGCTTATGTGACTGCATCACCTTACATGACTAAATTGCAAGTTAAACTGTTCAAATTGTAGCTTTATTTCCCCCAGACATACCTGTACAGTCTTTTTAATTCTGTGTGAAGGACCTGGATACTCTGGGGAATACAACTCTGTTAAGAATAATGAGTTGATTAATGTTGATTTTCCCAGTCCAGATTCACCTAGAAGAAAACAGGACAGTTTCAGTAAAACCAGAGTATCACATCAAGTATAAACATTTCAAACACTCTTGAAACACAGTACCTGAAAACATTCACCACACTCTAAGGCTCTGAGAATATATCATCTTTCCCAATTTCAAGGAAAATCCTTCAAATCCAACTGTCACTGCTGGATTCTATAGACATTTTTTCTGATCACATTACGTACTGAATGCATTTAGCACTTCTCTGTTGCTTCCATTAGAACACAAAGATATTACAATAAAAACTATGAAGAAGCTATCTTCCTGGTATGGTTTCTTATCATAATGCCAGAGCAGATTAAGTTATCTCTTTATTTCAAATATTATTGTCAGGGAGGGAAAAAAAAAGGGGTGGTGGGAGTGGAGGAAAAGACTGAGATTGGTTTGGTCTAACTACTAAAGCCACAAGGGTTAAAATTAAGTTTCAAACCATGTAGTTTGCCCAGGAATTCTGTTGTTCTTGGGGCAGGGGGACTGGATTTTGTTTGGGTTTTTTAGTAACTTTTCATGAGCAACAATATATCAGCCTCTGTAAAGAATATGGAGACACTACTGCCATAACAATCCAAGCAAATACAGTTACAATTCCAACAGCAAAGATTAGCCCCCACTTACAGCTCTCCAGAGATGAGAAGAATTTCAGATAAACTTACTATAGTATTTTAAAAGACAAGCCTTTTGTTTATGTTTTCTATTGTAAAGAAACTACCTCAACACAACAGTTTAAACAGTATATTAAAAAATGATGCTTCTTTCTGTTTAAGCTTCATATGCAGTCTGTCAGTATAATAACTTAAACAGGAACAGTCAGATAGAAATTTGCTTTTTAAGCCAATGAATTTAGGTGCAAACTGCATACTTGAACTGAGGGAGGGCAATGAGCTGTCCTGCCCCCCACACTTTGAGAAGAAAAAACCTAATGTACTAATCGCTCCATCCCCAACAAATATTGTGTTGATTTAGACACTAAACTCAGAAAGCTTCGAAACTTGCCTTGGGATCAATGTCCTGGGTTTATGCAAGAGTTATGAAACAGCAGTTACAAACCTCAGCAGAGAAGCCCTTGTCTGGGCTATAATAGCTGCCTCGATTTCATACATGAGCTAACTTACTCACATCAGCCATCTCGATTACAACGGTGTAGCATAAAGTCTCTGCACCACCCAACAGAGCAATCTGATTAGCTATACTGTAAAGGGATTAGCAGCTGATGAAACACTGCAACCAGAGCTCCCGTCGGCTGTCTGAGCTATTAGTGGTGCTTGTTCTTCAAACCCCACCCTCTTCCACAGACGAGCTAACCCACGCTGTAAGCAGGGTCTGCCTACAGCCAGAAAGATGGGCTGCAGCACCCAAGGAAGGAGGAGATACTCAAGTTATGGCCTCAAGTCAGCAGTGCAGGGAACACTAACCCCAATATGACAGCTATAGGTAAGCTAGAAGGGACAGGCTTGCTGACAAGCATTTCATCATTACTGTGCAGATTTTGCCTTTTTCTGTGGTCAGGTGCATTAGACACTTACGCATTACGCAGTAAACACAGTGCCTCAAAGGGTCTGCTTGTAAGGGACATGCATTTTCTACTCTGCAAAACCCTTAAGGGCAGTGTCAGCTGTAACAGAAAGAACCTTCGAAAAAATGCACAACTTTCCAATCTCATAGATGGAGCCAGTTTGAAGCTTAACCTTCTCCATCTCACAACCCTGCTCAAGACACACGTCATTCCAGATAAACCGAAGTGTTTTATCCCCCCTACTGAACCCTTCAAGAAGGTGGCTCTGATTCTGCAATGTACAATCCGTATCCTTTAAGCCAACTTGCTTTTTTACTTGATCATAACCTTGCAAAGGGCTCTCTACTATAGTATTGAAGAAAGATTTGTGCATCAGATTCTACTTCAATATCCAAAAAGGGCTGTCCCTTCTTTCTCTCTCCTATTAGAGTTACTGCTGCTCTTAACACGCAAAAGAATTTAAAGCTGAAAACTCAGAACAACCACTTCTTCTGATAAATAAGTGCTTGTCAAGTTGCCATTGAAATTCAACATATGGAAATGCAATTTTTCAGCTTTGAAAGAATGTGATGGAAAACCAGCAGCCTGCCCCAGATGGCTCCTGCAGCTGTGGCACTCCATATGAAGCAGCTTCTAAACTGCTGGAGCACTACACCCTGAGAGATGTGAGGTTTGTTCCCTTCCCCACCCTCTGCCCCCCTTACAGTTGTGAGGATATGAAGACAGTTTTGAGCTGAAATTAGTGAAAAGACAAGTATGCTAAGGACACACATGCACCACCTTATTCCCAAAAGGTGCTCATTCTCCTAGATATCCCTACCCTATGTTAACTTTAATCAGTCAGTGCAGATTGTAATAGCTTAAACTGCCTAACTGCTACCAGTAATTGAGATAATTGAGATATTACATATAAGTTTGCATCAACACACCAACCCCAGATGCAGTTGTGCCTTAGACCATGTAAGAATCAACACCTATGATGGTAGGAAAGGTTATGATATCAAATGAAACTACACATTGAAACTGTAGGTAAAAATTGGTACTGGAATATTCAACACTGTATATTTGGAAGTCACTTCCACTGTAATAAACCAGTAATTACTCTGCTGGCTACAGTGAAAGCAGAATTAGAGAAACCAAGTTTAGAACAATTCTAGCAGCCTTTTTGGACATATGAATATATTCTGGTCTTTGCTAGAAATACAGTAAGGAAAGAAAAAAAAAATCAAACACAGAACAAACTGAAACAAACACCCTTCATCCCTACCCAAACAAACAAAAACTCACATAAAAACCTCTAAGCAAACAAATAAAACACCCAACTCCACATACAAACAAAACCTTCTGTCCTCCCCATGTAGAGTCTTGCTCAACCCAAATTCACCTCAAAGGATTTGCTACGAGAAAGGCTGGGAAATCAGCTTCCAAGGATGCAACAGGGTATGAATATGACTATAAAACCCACAAAGGAGAAGGGAAAACAAGTGAAACTTAATTTGCCTTAACATGAACAAAAAGATACACCCCAAATAAAATGCATCTTCCCCCTTTCAGTAAGCATTTCAGGTGAGATTCTGTCCTTGGACCATTACATGAACTGGCAAATGGATGCAATGTTAATAGAACCTTTTCAGTAGTAATAACTTCCAATCACTTAATGCATCTTGATGCATTTAGACATAGCTGCCTAATTTAGAGAGTGAGTCATTTTTAGAAATATCCTATGTTTGCTTTAAAAAGAGAAGCAAAAACTAGAAACCCTGGGGTTTTTCTGGGTAATTCTGAATCCAAAAGGTTAATTATTTTTGGTATTCAGGTACTGCTCCTACCTTGCCCTCACTCTCCCACTAAAATGTTTCATATAGGCTGCAAGTTCTTCTGAATAAATACATTGTTCTTTCTCTTCATTATTTTGTGTCTCATGTTTATCAGCCACTTGCTGTTTCAAACTGTTAACATTTTATCCAGCTATTTTTATAGTCACATTCAAATACATGGAATTGGCCACTCATGTTTGCAGAAATCAGCACTTTTACTAACATGCTTCTGTCAGTCTTGTGAAGGAAAATCCTTTGTCACCTCTCACAGGACTAGCAAAAGTTCCAACTCTTCTCAAGTGCATGAATTTCTAAATGGACTGCAAACCATGGTGAATAGTCTCCAGAACAACATTAAAGCAAACAGGTACAGGGAACAATGACATGCAATCCATGTGAATAAGGGGAAAGCAGTGCTCAGAGATGAAAAAATAAAGTAAGTAAGTAGCTCAGGTTCTTCTCAACTGAGCTACATAAATCTTTCACCATCATTTCAAATCACTCCCTGTAAATGTACCAGAAATCCTAATCTCTGTTAATCAGTTAGGAAATCTACTCACAGCTAACTTGCTTGTTGGTTTTTTCCCCTGGTTCAACTTCTATCCATCAGTTCTTGTTATACTTTATTACTACAAAGACACTCACAATGCCAGCATCGCCTCCCTATGATAGTAGAAGTGAATTGTTATCTTTGATTTTAATGATTTTTTTTCACCATTCATTGCTGTGGCACATAAAGAATGTGGCGTATTTCCAACCTCCTCCAACTTTTCAGCCTCTGCCATTCATACTCAAGTATCTACAGCAGAAATGGACAAAAAAGTCTGCTCCAAACCAGCTTCCAGCTTTATATGTAACTTCTGCTGGAGACTGCTATTTTCTCATTCATATACTACCTCTTGATAATGCATGACACTACATCTTCTAGCTACCACATCATTCTGAAAAATCCAGGATTAGTTTTCTTCTGTAGGATCTTGTTTTCTAAAATCCAAGCCCTGAACTTAAAAGCATGACTGACATTATTAGATTTATGACCCCATGTTCATTAAACATATCTAGTGATCAAGGTGACTAATCACTACTGAACATTCTCAGTGTGCTCTCTGCACGCTTTATTTCTTACCTTTTAATTACAAGTAACTCTTGAAGAAATCACCTTAAGTTCTTCTATTCTTCACTAACAATTGTTTGGCTATCTACCAGTGGAACAGTATTTCACACTCATGCCCTCTGACAGACAACTGTACCACTGGGAACATCACCACACGTGCTACCTGTACTTAGGAATTTCAAGCTGCTTTCCCACGCTTCAGGTGGGACTACAAGACTGCTAGGGAACCACCCACCTGCAAGGAAAATGCTTTAGGTGATCACAGCACTATAAACCAAGACCTCAGTTGAATTGCTCACGGTAGTATGGTTCATGTACTGTCAACCAAGATGACCCAGTCTCCATCACTGTACCTTATTAACCGAACAGCAGAGTCAAATGTATAAACTGCTAACTCTGATGGGTGAGAGAAGGTAACTCATGCCATGAGACTGGGAGCTCTAATACAGAGACAAGCCACCAGTACCTAAAGTCCCAGGGCAAACAGGTTTTTCACAAAGTGCACAAATTTTTGGAAAGCTTCCACTACATTT